ATCTGCAAAGGACAGCAGCAATAACAGGGCAATAAAACCATCCACCAGGGAAGCTCATCAGTAAGCAATTACCCACACATTTTATTAACATGACTTTCAACTTTTCAGCCATGTCAAACCAGCTTTGAACACATGGTTGCACTGAAATTATTCAACTCTGTGGTTTTCCGCGGGATGGGGTGGAGGGGGGGTTTGAATGTGGGACACAGAGGCGTACAGCTGGGAATGAACAAGACCCTGAAAGTGATAGATGAAAGCATGAGAAAGTATATCATGCTTACAAAAGAAGAGGGGAAGACCGTTCAAGCATGTAAAAGTGAATAGTGAATGAAGCCATGCTAATTTGAGAATCAACGTTCCCCAAACTATAGGCACACAAAGATGGAGTTATTTGGATTAGAAAACATCCAAAACACAGGGCTATTTAAGACTGAAGTGTAAATACAGAAAAAGACAGCAACACTAATTGAGTGCACACACGCTTCACTCTGAAATATATTTGCTGACAATGTCTGTCTACCATAGAATTATTGCTGTGGGGAATTTTATCCTGCCTACACAAAAAAAGCAGCCACAAAACAACACCAGCTCAGTTCAGCAGGACAGAAAAGGCTCACAGCTCCCCCCTTCCTCACACAATCCCTGTGTCCATATTAAGGATCGAAACAGACTCCAAATTGCTGCTCTTGAAAATGAAGTGAAAACATTCCCGTCAGACCTTCCGTCTGATTGGAGAGATGGAGTGAAAGGGGTGAGGGTTGGTCTCTCCAGAGGGTTTGGCTTTGTTCAGTGGAAGTGAGGCTGTGTGGAGCATGTAAACACTGGTCCACTGCCATCAGGGGGAGGGCTGCTTCTGGGGCCGTCTCCGTTTGAGAAAGACTGGAGGAGCGTCAAATACAAATAAGCACATGCCTCTGCCTCCCCAGCCAGCCCACATGGCCAAATATAGAGTACAAACTGTACCATGGAAAAATGCATTTCAGCTTACTCCCACTGTGGCAGGTTGTGAATTACCAAATGTAACAACCATTCTCACGTTTAGAGGCCAAGCGCAGGACAAAGCGGTTAGCAACTGGAATGAATGGCAAATGATTACCATAGAAAATGCAAACTGCTCTGTTTTTTTTATCTCGCCAACTAAAGTAGATAAGCGGTATGAATAAGCAGAGGCCTGTGACAAGGCTGCATAGTTCATGCTGCACCGATGCTTTGTGCCATTTTGAGAGGCTAGAGAAGGATACATTGACTTTAAGTGTAGCTGGTGCGCTCTTTCTTGAGCATTGATATAGTACCCAGATGCACTCTAAGTAATTCCTTCTCTAACATCCTGTGGCCACACTGTAATCTCAGAGGTAAGATGGAAGAAACATGGGGGATCCTGAAGCCACAGATGAGCTAACTGATTTGAATTAGATTGCATTTATCTGACTAACTACAATGTATTAATGGCAAATGCAGGAGAGTTTTTGTTTTTATTATTCCTATTCTATAAATCCCACTTACACACAGCTAAAAGTCAGCTTTTACAGTCTCATATATACAGTGAGTGCACATTTTGAAATAATGCTGTATGGCCAAAGAGTCAAAGAGACTCACAAATTGACCGGTTATAGTTGGACTCTGTGTTCTCAAAGTGTGATCGCAGCTCTGAGCTTCAGGTTCTGGTATTAGCAGAGCTTATCACTGAGGAATGTCCTTATGCAAACAGAGCCACCATATTACTATAAATGAGAATCAGTCTCAGGCTGAACTCCACATCAAATGTTTTGCTTGTTTTCACATGTCTAACAGAAAGGGCAGGAGGAAGGGAAAAAAATCCATCCCTTCAAAGTAATGTCACACCCATCAAAACATCTCCACTGAACTATAACACAGGAAAGTTAACACATTTCCAAAGAACTTCCTGTGGCAGAACCTCAAAGTAGATATGTAAGAGCTTGACTTTGGTCAAGCCGACTGCACAGGTTAATGAGGCGAGAATCAGTTTCTTTGTTCCAAAAATTTAGTCAGTCTCTTAAACCCTTAGCATAAACTGACAGGTACAACAAGCAATTACACCAGAGGCGTAGCAAAGTCGACTTAAGAACAAGTATGAACTCGTATTTTGCACAGCTTTCACCCCTTCAGTTCCAAGGTTAATTGGATTCGATCCACATTTCAGGAGTAATGCCTCATGAGGTTATTCACAGATATAGAATTATTCCAAATAACCCATGAAGCATTTTCTTCCTTTGCCTTTCATTTATCCTAAAATGTACCCTTCTGACGTTGCTCACCCTTAAAACATTTCCACTGTTGGACTGACAGAGGAAATAGGTGGGTAAACATAGAGAGTGACTGGTCAATAATGGCGTCTGCTGCATTCCCATACACACGAGAATTGCCAAACTATCAGCTCTATGTTACAACACCCATAGCTTCTCTTGTAATGAAATCTACACGCTTTCTAAAGTGATTTAGCAATAAGTGACCATGTTTGAGGCTATTCGAGAGCGGCAATAAAGTCTGAAATGAACTTGTACTTGAAAGCATGTGAGCGTTAGTGGGACAAACTGGCATCTGGGCAGAAGAGCTGTGCCACATCCAGCTCTCTCACTACTCACACACACTGACATACCAATCCAAAACCAATCCAAGACGCCTCGACAGACAAAACAGTCACAAAGCTCGTGTTAAGAAGCATTTGCTAGATCCCAGCAGCAAGTTAGCAAAGGTCAATCTGAGAGGCTCGACTTAAGGCTGCCCAAGTTAGCCAACCTGTCAAGGACTCATTCTTTGGCCTTGAGCTTGCAAGCAGTCATGACTTTTATTATCCACCTATGTCACTTAAACCAAGCGAAATATGAACTGTGTTAAAAAAGAAGAACAAACTGAAAGATATGGAAATAAATCAACTGGTGCAAAGTCTCTTGGAATACCTAGATGATTGGATAATCGATCGATATACCCCCTTGCAACCCAGATTTATTCCTCCTTAAACTATTCACTTCAAGTTTTCTTAGGTTAGGTGGATAGTTACTAAACAGCAGTTGAGTGGGTGGAGGAGGCCTGGGTGGGGTGACTCTGACAACCTAGGGAGTCTCCTTACCTGTCATCTCAGCATGCACGTGCACACATGGCTGAAATAACACCAAGTTCACACCTAGTTTTACACTCCATGCCCTCAGTCGTTCAAACCCACTCTGTAGGTTTCCCCCTCCAGCTGTGTGCCTGTTCATAATGCTTTATACTGCCAGTACAACCTCTGACAGCAGCTGGTCTTCAAAGCAAATGGGGAGGAAAAAAGGGGGAAGAGACTTGAATTTCATAAACTCCGACTTACCCAATAATTCCCTCTGAGTAGTTCCTGACTTTCCATGGCGTGCCCGTGTAACCTTCGTATCCTCCCGTGTTGGAGGCGTTTCCACTGTTCAAGAGGCTGGAATTGAATCCGAAAGTGCTGGCTTTATTGTCTCTTTTCCTTTTGTTGGGGTGTCCTTCCGTGAGTCCCCGGCACAGCACGGCGACCCCGCTGCCCTGCTGCCCCCCTCCCCCGACACCGCCCCTGCCAGCGGCTCGGCTGTTGTGGTTGCTATTTGCGTCCAGTGGTATAAAGTCTCGCTGTTCCGTGATTTCGCCGTCCCCCATCGAGGCAGACATCCCGGGAGTCTTGACTTCTCCGCCACCGGTGTTTGAGTCAAGCGCCCCGTTCCGTGTCGCGAGGACGGCTCCCGACGCCCCGTTTACGATCGCTTTCAGGCTCGGCGTGCTCTGAGGTCCGGTGGTGTAGCTGTTATTCACTTGCAGGTACCTGAGCCCCTGTGTCGTCTCCCAGATCTGCATCCACAGGTTGTTAGCGGGTCCGCGTTGTTCTGGTTGAAACCAGGCGATCCTCGGATCCATCAAACGACACTGTAGGCAAAGCGCCCCCCCACCCCACCACCGAGCAATGCTCAGCTCGTGTGCAGCTAGCCAGGTTAGCTAGCTTGCTATTGCTCTGTTATAGCTGCTGCTAGCTCAGGGTCTCCACCGCCCGTTACTTCTAGAAATATGGTAAAAAAAAACAAGCCCTTCGGTAGTGACAGCGTGCCGAGTTGTCAACGAAATTCATCCACAGAAAAAATGTCAAGTGTGCGAGTCAGATAATAAAAAATAGTCGCTGAAGCCAAACTTGCGGTTGAAGACTCTGTACACGCACAAGCGTTGCTCGTCGATATGACTCTGACCCTTTCCTCCTGATCGTGGGTCCCTCAATGGCGGAATCCACCCCTCTACTGCGACTGCGCGAGATGAGTGAAAAGGGCCGACGTTACGCAACAATCGCTTTTGTTTTTTTTTTGTTTTTGCTTACATAATAGGCTATATGATTTTTGTACCACATACCAAAGTTAATTGTAGGATTTTTTTTATCAAAATTCAATTTATAATCTCAGGTTATCGTAAGCTTGGTGAACATTTTCGTTGGATTGTATATAGCAAAGATGTTACATTTTACATTTAGAATTTGATGCTACCTTGTATCGGAGATTAAAGACATATACATCCCAAAAATAATTACAAATTACTGTCACAAGGAATAGCTGAGTTCAACATCGTTGAAACAGTTCAAATTCCCACTATATTATACCTTGATTAATAAATTTGAATTATTTATGGGATAAACATTTTAAATGTTACTCTCTTATTGTTGATTGGGTTTCCTTATATTGTTTTACATCAGCTACCTTAAGCATAACAGTAAGATCGTTTAGTAGCATGATGAGTTAAGTTTCATATTTCAGGCCTGGATATTCATTTTTTATCAACATTCATGGATTTATGGTTGCATCGATTAATTGGTTTTACTGAATCAAATCTATTCAAATCTTTTAGTCCGATAGTTTCGGATATTAATATTTGCCTGACTTTACTGAAGAAATGTATTTGTAAAACTATAAAAATACACAAACTGTTTGGCGTTTCTTAGACGTTTTTACACTTGAGCAGCATTAAACGTTCCAGTAATTAGTGAAATGAAATAGAAAATGAACTAGAGTTCCGTTTAAAGTCTTTAATTTTTCTCACAAATCTAAGATGAAAACTGTTGAAGGGAAAGCAGTTTTATACATTTGAGGTGAAAATGTTTCTTTTAGATTCAAGACATGGAATACCTGATTCTTTCTCAAAAACTGAAAATTCCAATGTAAAGCAGGAAAACAAAAATGGCTTTCTTTCATTATTGCGTAGTTGTGGTGCAAAAGGTCAGCCTCAGTTCAACACAAACGCAGGCATCAATGCTAAGCCCACTGAAACATGAGTTAGAATGAAGGCTAATGTGGAAAACTAGTGTCACACCCTCACAATGATATCTCAAAAATGTTGTTTATAAGATTCCATTACAGTATAACGTCAAAGCCAATTAATTAATAGAGTCCATCCCTCTGTCTTAAAAACAAATAAATCTTCACTCTCACTAAAGAAAACAGTTAACCATTATTTAAAGAAGATAAACATAAATAATTGATGGTTTCACAACCACAGCCACGTCTCACATTGGGTCCTTCTCCACCATGCTGTCATTCACAAAGTCCTTATTTTTTTATCGCCTTTTCTAGATAACCAATGAATCTTCTCAGGTTGACTTTGACGTTGTCCAGCACGCACAGCTGCTGTGGGCTGTATTTACCTCGGCCATCCTTGCGTATCTAGATTGAAAATAGAAGCTAATGTTACTCACGTAAAGGAGAACAAACAAAACAAGAATGTATGATAGTTAAGAAGAAAAAAAACAAAACAACCATCAGTAACAATTTCCTCTACCTTAGCTTTGAAGACAGGTTGAAGTGCCTTAAGTGCAGGCAGCAGCTGGATGTTTTTAGCAGCCCTCTCCGCCTCTTCTCCGTCCGCAAAAACATCAAATAAAGCGTCAAGGGCTTCTCCGTTTACAACCAGATCGCCATCCCTGGTAGCAACTTGTAGTAAGGCGTTTCCAATCATCTGCGAGAGAGGAAGTTTTTAAGAGGACGAGGGAACCTCTAGAAAGGGGGGTGGCCAGTAGCCTGATACCTGAAGGGTTTCTGCGCTGCCCCTCTCTTTGGCCAGCGTGCTGCCCGTGATGCCCAGGATGGCCACGGCGTTCACCCTCACGCTGACGACATCGCAGCGGGTGGCGGCCTCGCTCAGGCTCATCAGCTGCTGGGGGGTCATACACTAGCAGGACAAAGACGGGGAGAGGATAGGAAAGAGGACTTTAAAGTGTGACAAAAGGTCTGTTCTGTGGACGCCGCCGCCAAACGTGAATCGAAAACCAACAATACTGACATGAACAAGAAGTAAGGCTTATTTTACGTATTTAGAGAGGAGAAGCGCGTGGCTGTACAAAGGAAGAGTAGAAGTTTTGTTTATCTGGGATTTAAGCTACAGAGGCGCTATACAGGGTTTATGAGATATCGTCATATGAATTAGAAGTTATGCCTTCCTTTAATTTCAAGTTTTTGGGTATAAAATAAAAATCATGAGATACATTTTACACGTGGCATTCTCAGCCACTTAAAAAAAACAGAACCATGTGAAATGAAATGCTGGACATATAAATAGCAAAGGGCAAACCACATACACTGCTTCTGCGTTTTGGATTACTATAACGGCTCAACTATGACATTTTAGCTTGAGCTAAACTGGAGGGGGAAAAAAAGTACAGATGTTATACCTGAGACATGTTTTTGGAAGCCATCGTCTGCAGCAGAGACCGCATGGCGCTGATGACGGCTTCTAGGAACTCCTCGTCTTTGGGCATTTCTGGAGCAAAGCGTAGAGCATTTTCATTTCCTTTTTCCCCCACACACGTCACCGCGAACCGATTCCTACTCAAAGGCACAGTTTAATATCCGATTTGCTCAATTACAGGGACTTGACATGATGGAGGGACCTGCGGTGCTGAAGACCAGCGTGGACAGGTGCTGCGCTGCCTCCTGCAGGGCCGCTGCTCCCCCCAGAGACTCCGCATCCATGGTGGACAGGATGCTGTGGAGGCACGTCAGGGCGCGGGACTGAACACGCTGCATCCTGAAGGAAAGGGGGGGGGGGGGGTCTCCATTTAACTTAATCATTTAATAATCCTCGGTTGGCTTAAAGAGTGAATAAGGAGCGCGTCTCTGCTCCATAAACAGCACATTACCTCTTCTTCAGGCCCCTCCAGGAGGGATTCTTTTGGCACACATTTATGGCTTCTGGTGGGGGGAACCCTGTCTTTTTGAGAACCTGTTAATCGAATGAAAAGTGTGATCAACCTACAAAATGATGTGGTTTTAAATGTGAGTACGAGCACAAATAAAAACGTTCAAAAACGGATCGAGCTGTGTATGGTGGCGCAGGTATTTGACTTGGTACGCAGCCACAGGGAGATGCTGGGGGGGGGGCACATTTTTCTTGCATTTTCTGACAGAGTTGAGGTGCGATTGTGAAAGTTATGCAAAACTATTTGCCTTTTCGGGTATGTTGTGGTTGATCAAGGCCCCTTGAACCTCAGCCGACAGGCATAATGGAGACATCAGATTGGACACTCCATCACAGAGGCCATCGGGACCCATGTCGCTTTCGTCACTGCTCGACTCCTCCTCCCACTCGTCATCGGAAGGGTCTTAACGGAACCGCAACAATAGCAAATGGACAAGAATAAAAGCATTTGTGGGAACGCCAATGGTCTCTGCTCACTCTTTTTCATGCTTTAATGGCCGTTCTAAAAGACAAGCACATCCTTGGTGGCTGCGTCACAGGAAATAAATTTGATGAAGCGGGCCTGGGGTCAGCGCTGCTGTCCATGCCCTCGACACTCACCGTCACAGCAGCACATGTTGACAATGATCTCCAGGGACGTTTGCTGGGCTGTCAGCAAGGCCGTTGCCTCCCTCAGCTCCTCCTTGCCCCTCTGGACATAAACAGGCAGCCATGTGAGTCAACGTCCAACTAAAACAATGAGCGCTGGCGCCGGTATGGTGCGCTCTGGGTTCAGCTGCTCAAGATTCATTCCTGCTGATGCGTTTCAATGTGTCAAGTTGCACATTTTCAGTTCGCACTGTGATGTGGGCGACAACACGAGGAAAAGATATTTTCAAGGAAAAAAGAAAGATCGATTCGTATTTCCACTCACTCGCTGCTATTCAGATTCTGTAACCAATTAGGAAACAAAATAAAATTAAAAAACAGCCAAAGATAACCCCTCAGTACCATTAATAAGTGGGAATGCTGGAGCAACGTCTGGGGGCTGTGACCGAGTCTAGAGGGACAGCTCCGTGTCGTTGGGGTCGAGTCACTGTGGTGGAAGCCAGTCGCTGGTCCCCGGATGAACCGCGCTGAGTGTGTTCTCAATCTGAGCCCCCGCCCCGAAGCCCTTCCCCACCCCGCCGGTTCGTCTGCGCTGTCAGTCTGGCTTTGCGCTTGGGGAGGGGGGGGGTTGACTCACAAACTGTCATTCCGCTGAGCGGTCAGAACACAAGAGGGGATCTCTCCCCTGCCAGTTCTGAGCGCACCGCCTCTCAGGACTGAAACGGCCCCAGAAAGCTCTGCTGTTCACGATGAGTCGGAGCAGGTCATGTCCCGTGTGTCATCACAAAACTAATATTTTTAAGTTCAGAAAGTAGGCATTAAAACATTTAAGTCCCCCCGGCAAATCTGTTGATGAAGCAGTCAGGTCGCTTTTGCATGAACACAAACTCCCCATAATAATAACTGCTCTGATTGGATCCCGCTCCCCTGAATGCTAAGGCGAGCCTGAAATGACCGTCTGATGTCCAGCGGCACCACTTACGGGAAGGAGGTCGGAGAAGTCGCCGTCGGCCTGGGCGGCTTTCCCGCCCCTCCTCTTCTTGGCCGCCTCCTCCCCTTCGTCCATCTCCTCCTCGGCGGGCTCCACCGCCGCCTGCTGCTCCTCGTCCGCCGTGGGCGGTGCGCGTCTGTAACGGGCCTCTTCGGCCTGTTTGAGCTCGGGGATCAGAACCCCCGGGTCCAGGGCGAGGCACTGCGACAAGGTGGCGACCACGGCGCCGAGGGTCTGGGCCTGCCGGCCGGCGGGCAGGCTGCCCTTGGTGTTCCACAGCGTGCCTGAGAGGAAAAAAACGGCGGGCTGTGGATCTCAATCCGCGTCTAAACGGGGGGCATGTGTGAAACCGGGGAGGAAGGACAAACTGTACCGGCAGCTAATATCCGTAGGAGGGTGTGCGCCATGCCCGGCTGGGGGGACAGCAGCACGGCCTCCAGCGCCCCGAGCACGGCCGCGTTCATGCTGCACAGCAGCTCCGGGTTGTCCTCAGTCACAGTGTGCAAACAGTGGGCTGGAGGACACACAGAATATTAGGTCGAATTACAGCCCACGACAGGCAACTTTCACATTTCCGGCAACTCGCAATGTCGGGGGGTGTCGATAATAATGAGACAGCCTAAATACAGGCCTATGTTTTTTAACGTTATGTTTTTATGGCGTTTCGTTTTTCCCTTTCTCAGCTTAATCCTGCAACGATCCTTTTTTTGTGCCATCGTTTGTTGCGTAAGTAAGGCTTAAACTGTTTGGCCTTTTGGGAAATCTGTCTGCTTGGCAAGATCCCTGAAAAGGGGCACTGCTCTTCCCTTGTGTCTGAGCCTTTATGAGGCTAAAGCCAGCAGCGGGGTTAGCAGGGCCTGATAGCTCAGCTACGCTCCAATCTGCTGCCATTTGAAAGCTCCCTGCTTGCACCTTGTTTCACTCCACTGGCACAGAAACTCAAAAACTATTAAACACATTCTATGTTTTATGGCTTTTTTTTGTCCGGTTGCCAGAGAAGGCAACGCTGGAACACGACCTGCTGGGTAAGTTTCATACCAAACGCACAGACGTGAAGTAAGTACTGATCATCAACAAGAAAGGCAGTAAGTGTTTTAAGGGTCCCGACCGGTAATGGTAAAAACTCCAATGGCTCCCTTAAGTGGGGCGTTTAAAGTCATTCCAAAGAACAGGGATAATTTTTTTCATTCTTTACTGAAAGTAAAGTCGTTCTTGTCTGGTGGCTGAAGTGAAGTGGAACCAATAAGAAGAGATATGTTTTAGGTTACCTTGTGGGGTTACCATCTCAGCCAGTACATGTGTGCACTGACAACAGATGTAGTGAAGACTTGAAGGATATGTTGTTTACTTTGTTATTACAAAGTAAAATATTCTCGATACTAAAAGTATGTTTGCTAGCTCTGATAGAATTGGCTTTGATAGACATAAATACAAATTAGAAAAATCTATATCAATAACCAGTTAAAGATAACAGTTCAAATACTGAAAGTGAAAAAATGAAGGGAAAAAAGCAGCTTTAGTTGATATCAGTTCCATGGTTTAGGTGAAAGGACGGTTACACTGTGTGACACCAACTGCACAACATGGCGGAGGAATGTCATACTATGGGGATATCTGCTAGGTTCAAAGAATGGTGAGATTTGTGTTTTGCAGTGTTGCGTCTGGGCCTGTTAGCAACAGTTAATAATTTTATTAATAGTTTAATAACAGCTCAGATAGTTTGTGGCAACACTATTTGGAGGGAAGTGAAAGTAAGAAAATCGTGGAACAAACCCAAAATCAGACCAAAATCTGAACCCAAATTCCCGATAAATGTGATACTTTTTATGACAGTAGAAGAAGAAAAGAAAAAAAACAATCACAATTAAAAAAAAAGATTGTGTAAATCTTTGACCTACCAGCAGAAATGGCCAGCTCCACGTTGTGGGGGTATCTCTCCAAACACTGGACGACCACGTCTAGGAGGCCCGAGCTGTTGAAGATGGACAGCGCCTGGCTGCTGCTCTCACTGGCGGGACAACATTTTTAGTTCTTTCAAATTCTTCTTATCAAGTGGCATGCAGTCGATAAATGTGACTTAACGCCAAAACAGTAAATGCTAGAGGACATAATTCTGAAATGGATTTTCTGGATCTCCTCGGATCTCCTAACGGAACGGGGCAGAGCTGGGCGTCAAAAGGGCGTGGCCGGGCAGCCGTCTTACCATAGGTTCCACAGCAGGTTCACAGCTTCATTGGCGACGTCCTCGACGGCGTTGCTCTTGTCTGGCGTCGCTACAGCGGCACCGTCAAAACCGGTACAACACTGGAAAGAAGAAAGGAACCATGCATAAGCCGTTGTACAAGAGAATGTTTCAAACTTAATTCAACGACTGGCAAAAGCTGAAAAAGCCTTGCACTTAAAAAAAAAATTAGGTCAGCTGCGAGCGAGGAGCTGGGAGCTTCTTTGTGTTTGTATTTGTGTTCGGCAGCGGGGGGAAAATGAAGTGAAACGCTCACCTCTCTGAGTAGCGCTGTCAGGGGGGTCATGACGTCGTGCTTCACCATGTCCTCGCACACCTCCTGACCCCCGCACACACTCAGATTCCTAGGAGGGAGACAAAGGTCCAGACACTCGCTCAGCAGTCACCTCGAGGTGGCCCACAGCAAGCAGGAGACAGAGCGACTTCATCTGTCAACAGCTGGAGCACTAGATTTGCTTCACGGCTGCGTAGTCAAAGCTGTGTGACGACAGTTAATACTTAGAAGGATACACTGCCCGGATAAGATTGCCTATTGTCATTTGAGAGGGTAGGAATAGTGCCAACCAAACATCTAAGCGTGATCTGACTTATCTTTGCGTCGCCTCCTTGTGTTATAACATAACGCCCCCTGCTAAGGTAAGTAGTCAAGTAGCTGTACTTTTGAAGGCAAGTTACATATTACCGTTACAGGTTGTCAAAACAACATACATAAACGATGGAGTAAAACCAGGCTTTTGTCACTCAGACCTTCCAAAGTGGTCCTTGATGTACTCTTCTTAAAGTCAGGGTTGTAAGATTTAATCCTGGCAAAATGTACACATCTAAAATAAAGCGTAAACAATGTTTGTTTAGGTTTGAATCCCATTATTGTGCCTGCTAACTCTCTGTCTTGTTAAGCTCAGGCAAAACAGTGTTTGACTGCACACAATCAATAGTGTTTACAATTTCACATTAGCGTTTTATTTCTGCTTATTTTTCAAAAATAGTAACCTCGGGGGGAAAGCTTTAACTTGTTATAGGGTAATAATCCTTAATATCCACCAATTTCTCAGTTGAATTGCATCTGAGGGTCTTAATCACACATTCAGTGAAAAGCATGAGGTAACGGAACCAGGCTGGACCGCGGGTCACCCACCTGAGTGCCCCAGTCGCCGTCTCCCTCACAGCCAGGCTGCTGTCCAGCACCAGCGGACCCAGGCGCTTCACGGCATCCCTCTGAAGGAAGCCGGGGATGGTCTGGCTCTGCTGCACCACCCGGGAGATGCTGGCACACGCAAACTCTCGCACGTCTGCGCTCGGACTCTGCAACTGTCGACACGCGCGCAACAAAATGAACCAAACAGCAACCGAACAACACCAACATCCCCCCGAGAAACGAGACAAATCGACGAGCGGAAATCGGAACGGGTGGCCGTAAAGACGCTCATCTGCGGACAGCTGTTATAGGAGTCATAACAAGCATTTAAAGTTGCAGGTTTTAGCTAAAGCCGTCATGGTGTCGATACCTTTTCCAACAGCTCCGCGGCCGGACCGCTGTCTTCGTCGTCTTCCTCCTCTGAGAGCGGTTCCTTCACAGCGTTCACCGGCAGCCCCACCGCGTTGAACTGCGGACGTTTGAACTTGGTGGTTTTACTTTTACCCATTTTGTAAACTGCGGGCTGTCCTGTAACCTGGCGCTCTATTGCCTCCCTCGGTGTCTTGGGTTATTTCCACTCACACTTCGCCCTCTCGTTTCTGCCTAGTTGGAAGCCATGTGGGGGACTTCTGCCGTAAAGCCGTAGCTTGACGGACAGAAAGTAACGTCGCTGCCGCAAAAACGCGTAAAGATGCTCTAATATAAACGAAGGCAGAAATAAATAAACAGGAAGAGACATGCTCACACGAAGTGTATTTATTAGGGTAAATATATTTAAAAATAGACATTTAGATAAAATACATGCTCAAAGTCCGGAACAGAAGAAATAAACATCTGCACTCTTGTTTAATGTGTAAAATACATCAAAGTTGAAGTGAGCAGATCAGCAGCTTTGATGGGTGGACTCAACAGGGCGACACTATTAAAAAGGCTCCATCAGTTCATTTCTTGGCTTCAAATATGTCTTACGATTTCCTGAAAATAATAAATCCACTTCAGTGCTGTTCTCTGAGGAGACACTGAAAGGTCAGAGACTATCAAAAGGCGGAACAGAACCCAGAGTGTGACTGGATTACTGGATGTTAGGTCGTGGTTTCAGAATCAGCTTCCCTGTCTGCGAAAAGAAAGAGAACAGACCCATTTTAGTGCAATAAGATTGATTTGAGGTCATGGCGTCAAAAAAAAAAAAAACTCACATCGTCACAAGACATGTTGTATTCTGCTAAAACAGTGCGGCAGCGAGCGGCAATTCTGATGGGGCAAAGGTCAAAGAGAACAACTAGCAACCTGAGGAGAGTGAGTGGTTTCATGCAGCTGTTAA